TTGAGTGTGTGTGTGTGTGTTTGCTTTCTGTGTGTTCTGGTTGTTGTTTGTTTGTTTGCTTGCTTGCGTGGTTGTTTGTTTGTTGGTTGGTTGGCTGGGTTTCTGATTTGTTGCTTGGCTTGATTGTTTGTTTTGGTTGATTGTTTGTATGTTTGTTCGTTTGTCTGTCTGTCTGTGTATTTGTCTGTCCGTCTGCGTGTCTTTGTGTCCGCGTCTCTGCGTTGTCTGTGTGTCGGTGCTTGTGTGTGTGTCTGTGTGTGTGTGTCTGTGTGTGTGTGTCTCTGTGTGTCTGTGTGTCTGTGTGTATGTGTGTCTGTGTGTCTGTGTGTCTGTGTGTCTGTGTGTCTGTGTGTCTGCGTGTCTGCGTGTCTGCGTGTCTGCGTGTCTGCGTGTCTGCGTGTCTGCGTGTCTGCGTGTCTGCGTGTCTGCGTGTCTGCGTGTCTGCGTGTCTGCGTGTCTGCGTGTCTGCGTGTCTGCGTGTCTGCGTGTCTGCGTGTCTGTGTCTGCGTGTCTGCGTGTCTGCGTGTCTGCGTGTCTGCGTGTCTGCGTGTCTGCGCGTGTTGCGTGTCTGCGTGCGTCTGCGCGTCTGCGCGTCTGCGCGTCTGCGCGTCTGCGGGTCTGCGTGTCTGCGTGTCTGCGTGTCTGCGTGTCTGCGTGTCTGCGTGTCTGCGTGTCTGCGTGTCTGCATGTCTGCGTGTCTGCGTGTCTGCGTGTCTGCGTGTCTGCGTGTCTGCGTGTCTGCGTGTCTGCGTGTCTGCGTGTCTGCGTGTCTGCGTGTCGGCGTGTCGGCGTGTCGGCGTGTCGGCGTGTCTGCGTGTCTGCGTGTCTGCGTGTCTGCGTGTCTGCGTGTCTGCGTGTCTGCGTGTCTGCGTGTCTGCGTGTCTGTGTGTGTGTCTGTGTGTCTGTGTGTGTGTCTGTGTGTCTGTGTGTCTGTGTGTCTGTCTGCTGCGTGTGTTTCTGAGGCCACCCTTTTGGGGTAGTACAAATGTGTTAAGAATTGGGGGGGACCCAAAAAACGGGGTGGCTGTTCATTTGGTTTCGCTTTAAACCAAGCTGCAAGAATGCCCTTGACGCCCAAATAGAGGCCCTATCCGGTGGCCCAAGCAAATAAACAGCAAACAAACAACAGGAGGTCCAGGCAAACAAAACGTTTGGTACAGAATTCAGAAGTTCCTAGATTGCAACACACATAATGACATATATAGACGTGTTGGTAAAGCGTGGCACACATTTGGGCGCGGGCGAGTGTATTCTCTATGTCTCTTGGGGTGTGTTTGTATGTATTTTGCTATTGTGCCCCGGTCTGATTTTTCACTGGAGCCCTGATGTTGGAAGCTTTCCAAAGTCAACCGCCAAAACCAAGCGGGAACGTGTCCCGGACTTTGAGGCAAACCCCCTAAGCCCTACAGACAATCTGGTGGGACGAGGGACTGGCAAAGTTAGGTTCTTTGTCTGGACCCAATGAAAAGCAGGGGCACACTCCTTGCTCCAGAAAAGCAATATTTGCTCGCCTCTTTACAATGCTTCACTTGGCAAGATCAACTACTTGAGCGAGGCGGGAACAGAACCAAGCAAGCGACGTGCAAGGTGACTCGGGAATCGAGCCGACAACCTTGGCTGGAAAGGACACAACCCCAAGACTGCTGGCTCCGCCCCTCTACCCCGCCCGCCCCCTCCTGCCGCAGGTGCCGGTTCAGCGACGGTAGTGGGTTCTGGAAGAGGAAGACGTCCATATCCAGCCAGAAGACGTCGACATCTTCATGCAGCAGAACCAGAGGCAGTGTAAACCTCACCAGCGGCTGAAGACCACTCAGACAAGACAGACAAGCTCTACACGCCAAGGCTGAAGTGGGGAGAGCAGAGAAGCTAAGAAGCCCTGAAAATGTCAAAGCATAAAGCCATGCTTGCGCATGTTCATGTGCATCTTTAGATATATACATACATATGTGTCTGTGTGTGTGCAGGTATATACATGTATGGGTCAGTCTGTGTTTGTTGGGCGTGGCTTTCCTTTTGGTTTCCCCTTTAAAATAAGTAAAAAGGGGTGCTCTCAAAAAAGCAACACACCTATATGTTCATGTGTATGTGCCTGTCCG